CTCGTGATGTTGTGTGTGCCGTGCAGTAAGTGCGTGTCAGTTGTGTGCCACTGCCCGTGGATGTGCAGCTGTGTGTGCTCCAGGGGTGAGCGGTGTACGTACATGTGTGTGTTCATGGGTGTTTTCGTGTGCCTCGGTGTGTTGGGAAGGGCACATCTGTCTTCTCCAGGGTGTCTGTGTGCGTGTTTATAGGACTGCAAAGGTTTCGTAGCATAGCCCAGTTCTCCCTGCAGGAACACAGAGAAGCCCAGTACAGCTCCTTCCCCCACCAGCAGCTGAAAATGCTGCTCCCCAAGCCTCCAGGCAGGCTTCTTACCTGGGGTGTGCTGGGTGAGGGGCTGTCTCAGGGATGGGACCTCCTGCATCTGGTGTCATTCTCCATTGCAAATGTCTTAGAGGGCCACCTCTCATTAAGAAAGGCAGGTCTGGTACGCGGTGTCTTTGCCCCTCTCACTCCCTGTCCCCATCCCATCAAGACTGCCACCCTTGCTAGCAAGCTGGCTCTGGTGGCAGAGTCCCCTGTACCATAATTTGTACTGTTAGGGCAATGCCATTCCAGAAAGGAACCTGGCTCCAAGGACCTGGCAATACCAAGACATCCCCAGTCTAAGGAGGGATCCCCAGATCCCAAGGAGGGATCCCTGGCCACAGCAAGGGAGCACTGCCTGAAGGCTTCAGGCCAGCTGTGAGGCTGCTGAGGCTGGTTTTCCCTCAGCCTGATGCCTTCTGAAGGGGTGGTAGTACAGTCACAACCCTGTTTCCAGCCCCCACCACCACCAGAGGGATGCTGGAGGGCTGGGGACAGAGCAGTAGCCCAACCCATAGCCCTGGGGATGGCATTTCCTTCTCCCTGGGATTCCTAAATTAAATCCAGGGTGGGTGCTTCACTGGGGGCAGGGGGTGGGCAGCCGGGATGCCAACTGTTTGCTGTCCCCCGTTGCAGACGGGAGCGTCGCCGGCGGCACCACATGTCGGTGTGGGAGCAGCGCACCAGCCAGCTGCGCCGGCACATGCAGATGTCCAGCCAGGAGGGCATCAACAAGGATGAGCCGCCCCTCATCAACCCCCATGCCAGCATCTTCCGCAGGAAGAAACCAGGGGACGGCGTCACCCTGGAGAAACACGCCGAGGAGCAGGGCAGCAAGGGCGAGCGGCCGCTGGCTGAGGGACCCGAGCAGCCGGCCCCGGGAGCGAACCCTGGCAGTGGTGAGGACAGGAGAAGCCCATCACCCCGGGCCAGGCGAGACAAGGAGTCGTGGCACCAGAAATCGTGCCATGGGAACTGTGATCCAGGCGAGCAGGATGGGGCAGGAGGCGGCATCGAGGATAGGGCCAGGATGAGGCAGAGCCAGCGGCGCAGCCGGCATCGCAGAGCCCGGATGGAGGGGAAGGAGCCAGCTGGTGCCTTGGGGAGCCGCTCGGCCAGCCAGGAGATGGGTCTGGAGGAGGCCAGCCCCACAGAGGGGACACAGGATGGGGACCGGCGTGGAGACATGGCCTCAGCAGAGGCACTGATACAGGGGGAACCAGAGGTGACTGGAGACCCTGTCAGGTTAGTACCCAGAGAGGGCATCTTGCAGTTCTCACAGCTCCTTGTTCTTTCCCGTTATCTTCTCGCACCTTTTTCATCCTGTCTCCCTCTTGCAGGACAAACGGGGTCCCTGACGGTGATGCGGAGCTGGTTAGGACCACAGAAGAGGGGAGCACCCCTCAAGTGGCACCTGAGCCCCCCCGGGGGAAGACAGGCAGCCTGACAGAGCAGGACTGCAGCAGCCCAGACGCCAGCGAGCAAGCACTGCTGGAGGCCAGCTGCACCGTCAGCCGAAGCGAGCCGGACCTCTCTGCCATCACCCCCAACACCGAGAAGGCCACGGAGAGCACCACAATCATGATCGATGTCCACGACTCTGCTGTGGTACAGAGTGAGGACCCGTCTCTCTTTCCTGAGCCCCTCTCCCGGCCCTCGGGGACCCGGGTGGGGATGAAAAGCTGCTTGCACAGCTTTTTCTGTCTGCTTCTAAAGTGGGGGGGTTTTCCTTGCGCTGCTCCTTGCAGCACCTCCCTCCAGCACCCCAGTTCTGCAGTGGAGCCTGAACACAGCACTGATGTGCCACTGTCCCTTGGGGAGCTTCTCCCTTTCTCACTTCCTTCTCATCCACGCCTTCGGCTGATCCCTCCTTCCCCCTCCATCCCCGCTCAGGCAAAACACTTGCATCCCTGTTTTTCCTAACACATCCACAGCCTCTGCCCCAGCTCGCTGCTGCTCAAAGCCCTTAACGGCGTCCTCGCTGGCAAGGTGAGCTGCTTTAAATGGGGTTATTAATTACACAGCACTGTGAAAGCTGGCCTTGTTAAAACCCCTTTTGTCTGCTTCATGCCAGCAGCTTGTGTCTTTTCTTCCCTTATATGGTTCCTCTCCCTGTAACAGCACGGGGGTGCAAAGCAGAAACTGGGGGAGAAGTTGCATGTACCCGGGTGGCAGGAATACCCCAGGGTGCTGTCTGGGTGCAAGGCCAGGCAAAGGCTCTCGCTTTCCTGCAGTTAGCAACAAGACAGATGGTGAAGCCAGCCCCTTAAAGGAGGCCGAGACCAAGGAGGATGAGGAGGAGATGGAGAAGAAGAAGCGGAAGAAGGAGAAAAGCGAGACGGGCAAAGCGATGGTGCCGCACAGCTCCATGTTCATCTTCAGCACCACCAACCCGTGAGATACTCTTTGGACTGTAAAAACTTGGGGCTGGGGAGGGCTGCAAGGGGAAGGACACCTAGATGTCATTGAGAACTGGGGACCTCCTTGGAAAGGGGGCTGAGTATCTCCCGAAGAGCCTGGATAGCCAAGACCCTGGAACGCTCTCCCTCTGTGCCAGCCACACTTGTGGCTTTCTTTCCCGACTCCCTCAATTTTTATTCAGTGCTTGTTGCACACCTCTGCAGTTGTCTGCTCCCTTGTAGCTCTTGACTGGCTCCAGCAGCCTGGAAGAATAAGCCCCCCAATTTCTCAGGGACTCTCAGGTGTCTGGGGGACTGGGACAGTCAAGCAAAGGGGTCAGCAAGTCCAACCCATCCTCAGGCTCCCTGGTTTTGCTCCTCAGACTTTGCTGCCCATCTTTCTGCTTTGGAAGCTGGCAATCTGGGGTGGGATTTGTGTGTGGGCCATGCCAGGGCTCACAGGTGGGGGCACGGGCTGTCTCCCCACAGGGTGCGGAGGGCTTGCCACTACATTGTGAACCTGCGCTACTTCGAGATGTGCATCCTCCTGGTGATCGCTGCCAGTAGCATCGCCCTCGCCGCGGAGGATCCCGTCCTCACCAACTCCGACCGCAACAAAGTGAATGCAAACCTCCCTGCTTTCCTTTCTAAACCCTGAAGATCCCTCTCGGCCTCTCACACACGGGGTTTAAAGCCCTGATTTAGAGCAGACCAGGGCGCCTTGTTAATAGTAAAGTAGCCTAAACTGGGGAGGTGCTGATGTGCATGGGGACTGGTATGGGGAAGCATGATTCTGGCTCGCAAAGTGGTTTCAGACCTGCATGTGCCACGCACAGGAATTGTTTCTTTCCTGCCTATGTGGGCAGGGTTTATGGCTGTCCTCAACTCCTAGTTGACAGGTTGGGTTTGGGACAAGAAAAACCAACCCTCTGTTGGCACCCGAGCCAGGCGAGCGCTGGGTGTGGGGCAGCAACGGGGTCTGGGTGGGCACCAGCAAGCCTGTTTGCTTGGCAGCAGCTGCAGTGCACCTGTACCCTCTCTCTGCAGGTCCTGAGGTATTTCGACTACGTCTTCACTGGCGTCTTCACCTTTGAGATGGTTATCAAGGTAAGAGGTCTTGCAGGCTGCGCTGAGTCCCATGGCATCCTTGCAGCAGATGGGAAATAGCTCAGTTTGTTTTGTTCTGGTACTAAATTTGGATGATGGAGACTTGAAGGTTCTTAGTGGTAGCAATTGAGAATGCTCAGCACCACTTTTACCAGTCTCTGGCTCCAGGCTCCCACAAAATATGATGCCCCTTGCTAGATACGTGACATGTAGGGATGGGTCCACTGCTCCCCAGCGATGTCCCTGTCCCCAGCACGTCCCGCCTGCAGCTGCTTCCAGTTGGTGGCCAAGCTGCTCATTCCCTGCCTGTTTTTCTCAGATGATCGATCAGGGCTTGATCCTGCAGGACGGCTCCTACTTCCGAGACCTCTGGAACATCCTGGATTTCATCGTGGTGGTGGGAGCGCTGGTGGCTTTCGCCTTGGCGTAAGTGACCGTCATCCTTGTCAGCTCCTTGCCTTCCCTTGGCCGGGGTGGGAGGAGGATGCAACTGTGTGTTATGGCTCCTAGACCCTGATTTTTTATTTTTTTTCATATCTCTGCACATTTCTGTTGTACTTCTGGGACTACTCCTGGCAGCGGCACGTGGCTGCTTCAGAGATGTATTTCTCCTTGTCTGGCAAATGCTGGTGAGCAAGCAGGCAGGGCGCAAGGCAAGGCAGCCTGGAGATGCTAGGGAGAGGTTGGTGGTGGAAGTGGACTTGAAAGAGGGCAGAAGGGTCTGTTAGACATGGAAAAAGACTTAAAGGTGACAGAGCTGGAGGTATACGCCCGCTATGCATCCTGGGGCTCACAGAGACAGCAAAAGCAGCAGCCTGCCAGGTAGAGCTGCCCTCTGAACATGTTTATGATGGAAATGGTAACCCTGGCTGGTGGCTTTTCCTCTGCTGCAAGGGGGAGCATTGCTCCAGAGCCCTGCAGGGAAGGGCATGTGGCCGGTGGTCTCTGTGCCTCCATCATTTGCAGCATCATGCCGAGGGCAGGGTGCTGCGTGCTTGCTCTGCAGTGTTTTCATTCTGAGCATTGCCTTGCACTTGAGCTCTGGTACTGAGCTTGTGGCACCTGGGGGTCGTCCTCCACAAGTGGCTGCAGGGTGGCTCAGTGTTTGCTGTGCCCGTGCCACGGTGGGGAGATGTGTCCAGGGATTAGGTTTGTGCCGCTCTGCCCTCCTCCGTGCTGCCGGCAGGGGCAGACGGTGCAGTGTAAGCTTGAGGAGGAGCGAGGGGTGCCAAGGTGATGCTCACAGGCAAGGGGCACCCCCTGGTCCCTGGGTTGTGGCACCTCAGTGGTACCCGAGGAGGGTCTGGCACTCCTTTGTCACGCTGTTGTTCTCTCTTTGTGCCTCTGACACTGGCGGCGGTGGCAGTAGTGCTGGTGCGAGGGGAGGGCCTGGCAGCCGCGCCGATTGGAGCCCTGTCCTTGTCCACAGCTCAGGTACCGTGCGAGGCTCTCGGGGTGGTTGTGTCCGAGCCCCAAGGTCACTCGATGGATTACAGTGTGGAATCCATCCTTCCCATCTCACCCCCAGCCAGGTGGCAGCTCCTTCCCCTTGCTTTTGCCCACTTGCACCCTCCTTGGCTCCTTGCTTTTGCATCCCTCACCCTTCTCACTCCTGCCCTTCCCTGGTGCTTTCAGCTGCTGCTCTCTCTTTGGGAAGAGCATGGGAGAATTCAGCTCACTCGGCGCAGGGATGAACCAGCCCCTGGGCAGGACAGGGGGCTGACTGCAGACCCCGGCATGCGGACGGGGCACGGGGCAGGTCCGCTGGCTGGGGACATTGCTCTGAGCCCCTGGGAGGCCACTCAGGCCACTACGAAGTGGATCAAGCATCCATGGGATCTGGCTGATCCCCACCTCTGCCAGGGCAGCCCCTCACAGCATGTCTGTGGGAAGGCTCAAGGGTATCATCTTGATGGGCTTGAGAGGCTTTAGGAGGACAAGAAAGACTTTTCCTTCCAAGGCATCTTTCATCAAGGCTTTTTGATGGCTGAAGGAGGGCAGGTTGATGGCTCAGCCTCCTCCTGGGTGGATGAGTGTCTTCACCACCATTAACCATACTGTAATCGGTGTTTACTGCGCTTACTGTCCACTTGCCTCTGCCCCACAAAGGCGATGTGGTTCCTGGGGTGGCCCCTGGAGATGGTGGGGTCCTCGTGTGCCATCACTGAGCACGTGGGGAAGCTGCTGTGCCCCTTCAAGCCCTGCTTGCCACTTTCTTTCCTCCACCCAGCCTCCCAAGGGAAGGACAGGTCCCTTTAGGCCTCGGGGCAGCTGAATTCTCAAGGGTGAGCACCCCCATCGGCTGTGGCACCAAACCTCCTTCCACGGAGAAGGCCTTTGCATCTCCACGTATGTTTGCAGTGAGCGTCTGTGTTGCCTGCTCACTCTTGTAGCCATAGCTGGGTAGATACCAAGTTGCTTGTGTTGTGGACGAGGGCTCTTTATAATGTAAACCTGCAGGGTTGTCCTTCTCCCCCACATCTGACAGTGGCTCCTGCTGGAGGAGATGATCTCATGGCTTTGGGGGTGAGGGGAACAAAGGAACTGCAGTGATTTTTGATGGGTTTATACATTATAAAGCATTTATAAGAACACCTGCCTCTCCCCTTGGCAGCCCATCACCGCTGTGGCCCTGGGAGCCGCAGGATGTTTGCCAGCTATAAATGTCCCAACCCACCGCCCTCCTTCTTTCCATCCTGGTCGTGAGGGGAAAACGCTGGCCATGACATCTGAATCCCTCTCCTTTCTTTCTCCTTCCATGAGGTCTTTGATGTGAGGCTGGGAGGGGATGTGTCCTCTTCCTCCCGCTCCTCACCTCCATGGCACTGGGTGGGAAAAGCAGTGCCCATGGAGCTGCTATGGCAATTGTGTGGCTGAGAGCAACTGGTAACCGGTAGAAGTGCTGGGCCATGCCATGCTGTGTGGATTTTCTGCCTGTTTTGCTTCCCCTCTGCAGTTCAGTTTACCCTTGGGGGGTCCTGGGTAGCTGTGGGCACAGCAGGAGGTCTCTGAGCTGGTTCAGCGGTGCCACCATCATCTGCCGGCCATCAATGCCGCGTTGAAATCACCAGTAAGCAAGTGTGCACCCATAAAGCCATGTCTCTGTGTGCCATCGTGGCTTGTCCACTGCTCCCTCATCCCGAGCAAGAGGCTGTCTTGGCTCATCTGTTGCTCTCCGCGTGGAAAGCTAGTAGGTCAAACCAAATGCAGCCTAAATATAAAGCCCGATATAAAACCGTAAATCTCTAAAGAGTTCAAATTAAATTAGCTGAAATAACCATAACTAAAGACCCTGCTCTCTTTTGCCTCCCGTGGCACCCTCTGAAGAAACATCGTGCAAAGGAGCAGCCCTCTCTTGCAGCTTTGCCGAGCTGCCGGGAGGCGGTGATGCCTCCCCCTGTGGGAAAGGCTGAGCTGTGGAAAGATTGAGCAATGGTCAGTGCGGAGCCCTTGTCATCTCACCTGGTGAGCAAGGGCAGGAGTTTCTCCACCCAGAAGTACCCAGCCTCTCTCTTTGCTGAGCAGCGTCTCCTTATGCTCATTGGCACTGGTGTCTGGAAGAGACATGGTTTAGCAGGGAACAGGTTATGGTTGGACTCATTCATCTTAAAGGTCTTTTCCAACCAAATGATTCTATGAAGCAAGAGGGGACCCGTACGTACTGCAAACTAGCCTGGCGTGAGGCTGGTCAGGACAGAGCTCTGGTGTCCCAGCACAGGAGTGCTGCAGAGTTAAACGATGACCTTTTCAACCTTTTCAACTTCCACCTGTTTCATTAGCATGCAGCCAAGGGCTGGGGTTATTTTTGTGTTTTCTAAGAAATGTTTTACTTTGTAGGCTTGCCCCCAGTGCTGAGCCCTCTGCATGCATGTGGCAGAGACTGGGCTGCATCAGGATTGGAGGTTTGGTTACAACTTAGGGACCTTGTAGACCACCTTGGCATGTCAAAGCAGGTGTCCTGCTGGGTTGCAGGAGATCCTGTGCTGCAGCTCAGGCTTTTAATCAATGGGTTTCTTGACAGAGGTGATTTGTAAAGCTTGCCAGTCTGGAGGGTAACTGTGGCCTTGCAGGTAGGTCCCCTCGGAGGCACCTGTCTTTGGCTGGTTAGGGCTGAGCCTTAAAGTCTCTCTCTGACTTTTGGCCAAGGAGGACCATGCACCTGCCTGCTGTCACCCGCTGTCCTGCTCTCCGTGGGTTCCTCTTGCAGCAGAGGTTTCACTACGCACCACCCTCTCAAAATCTCCAGCAAGGAGAGCAGGGGCTCCCAGCTTGCTGGATGAGTCTCTCCCTGGAGATAAGCCCCATCCTGGAGGGTCTACTCACTGTGCCTATCAACCCAGGCATGGGGTGACAAAGGGCTGCCCGAGAGGCTGCTGTTGTCCTTGCTGTTTTCCTTACCTTCTTCCTCTCTTCTCTCTTTTCCTTCTCTCCATTGGTGCTGTTTGGTGGCTGCTGGGCTGGATCGACAGGAATGCTCTGGGGTAACTATGCTGTTTGGGTCATGGTGGGGTGCCGCGGGGGGGCGGATGGAAAAGAGTGTCTGTCTGTCCATGCCCTGTGCTGACCCTTAGCTGCATTTGTGGAGACTGGAATACGCTGCTCTGCACGCACCCCTGCATTGCCCCGGGATGTGGTGAAGGTGGTGCGCTCCAGGAAAGGGCAGGCGAGATTTTCTTTACGAGCACTGCAATTCCTTGCCTTTCATCCTGGATCTCAGTGTCTGTGCAGTACCCTGAGATGGTGTGGAGCACACCCAGGGCATGGGGAAAGCGGTGTCCACCACACAGCTGAAGGCTCTGCCCCAGGAGGGACTTTGCTGGCACTGAAGCGCTGCAGGGACTTCAGCCCTGACATCCTCCAAGGGCATGGGATGTGGTTCATGCCAAGCTCAGGAGGCTGGGGAGATCTCAGCCTCACACATAGACACAGCAAAACCAGGCTTTTCTCTGGGCATTGCCCAGCTCTATGTCCCATATCCGTGTTGGATCTCAAGCAAATCCGCAGGAGGCTTCCTGAAGTCCAAAGAGGTCCTCAGCAGATGTAAACCACTGCAGTTGAGTTGCCCATGGTGGCAGCTTGCACCAGCTGAGCACTGCCCTCAAATCCTTGCCCCAGCCCCGAGGCAGATAGCCCAGCCCTGACACTGAGCACAACAGGAGATGGGAGGTGCAAAGTGTGTCCCAGGGCTGTTTGTACAGTGGCTTCCCATGCCTCTGTGGGGCTGTGCTCCCAGGGAGGAGTATTAATTAGTGGTTTTGTTTACATCTCTTAATGATTAAGCCCATTACTGTGCTCCCTGTTGCATTAACCCTTGCAAAGGGGCTGTGTAATTTGGAGCATCTGTTGTTGTAAGTCATTGCTTTGACCTTTTTTGAGGGTGTCTGGTGGATGCAAACTGTGCCACCTTCACCAGGACCTCTCTGCTCCACCCTGGGATCCAGCTCATGGGCTTTAGTTAAAAGACAAGAAAATGTAATGTGGTTGGAATTAATCATTGTATTCAGGAAATGAGGGTAATGAAGATGCAGGGGGGCTTTTATAAGTAATTCTACTGGTAAACCTTGCCTCCGTCAGCTGACGTGGGGTTGGAGGCAAGCGCAGCCCTGATCTAGAGAGGGCTGGGATATTACCTATGTATGAGATCGAGGACCAGGCTGGCCATGTTGGGTAGCGCTGCTGTAATAAGGCAGAAAGCTGTAAGAGACAGCATTTGTGTGACCAAACCAAGCACAGAGTGAGGCAGAGCATCGCATCTCCTGCCTCAGCCCTGGCATCGCTTCCCACTGTGAGAGGGTTTGTTAAGTTCACTGCTCCCCATCAGAGGGGAAAGGTACTAATCCTGAGGAGGAGAGGATTGATTTGTTTTCCATCTCTGCCAGCTGCCAGCGTGTGTGTTGGAGGAGACTCATTTAGGTGGGCTGAGCTCAGCAGTCACACAATTGTGGCCCTCCTGTTCCCATCCTCATGCATGCTGGGGGATTGTCAGCAGCTGAAATCCCCAGAGCATTCAGCCCTAGGTCTGCAGGGTTATTGTTTCTCCATTTTCTTTTTGGGTGCGTGTGCCTCCCTACGATGCGGTAGGACCAACAAGGGCCGGGATATCAAGACCATCAAGTCTCTCCGTGTGCTGCGGGTCTTGAGGCCCCTGAAAACCATCAAGCGACTGCCCAAGCTGAAGGTAATGATCCCCATCTCCTGCCTTGCGTCTGTCTTCTCCAGCATGCACCAGTTGGTGCAGGGACCACACACATTGAAACGAGCAGTTTCCAAAGCACTTCCTGTGCTTTCGGAGCCCTGTTTTCAAACACAATGCCCTTTGGGCTGCTTCACATCTGGATGTGCAATGAGTTATTAAAAGCGAGTTAGTTCCTCAGCCAAAGAAAGTGAGGCTGCAGTGGTCACAAGGCAGAAAAGCCCAGATGCTCTCCTGATAAAAGCCTGCTGCCCTGGCTTTGGGAGAGCTCCGATCTCTTTCCAAAGTTCATTAATCTTTCCCACTGGAGCAGCTTGCAAACAACTCAGGATTTTGTGTGCTGTGCTGTCATAGTGTTGTACCAGAGCTGGATTTCCCAGCTGAATAAAGGGATTATTTATGCAGCACAGGTAGGATTATGGATTTCCCTGCCTTAGGTGGCAGGGTATAGAGCCAGAAAGGAGTAAGATACTGAGGAAGCCCTGAGTTTTTCTCACAGGGGGATATTTGGCTGATGTACGAGGTCCAGACAAGCACCTCAGAGACATAGGGTTTGACCTCAGTGTTTCTTCCCAATCAGAGGATGGATTCAGCCCGTGTCAGTTCATTTCTGGACACCTCTGTCTTCACCGTGAAGCAGGGATGAGGATGTTCCTCTCCTTCTTAAAGTGCTGTGAGAACTAGGGCTGGGAGCGCAGCCCCCACAGCCTGAGGAGGTGCTGCTGTCGCAGGCAGGGGTATTTGCTCTGCCTTGTTAGTCGGAGTGCTGCGAAACAAAGACGTATTTACTAATTGGTCTTGAGTGCTGCTAACTGCATCATCGGCTGTCCCCTGTCTGCTGCCGTGGTTGCAGAGAACATTGGAGGATATAAATATCTGTCCCTGCTGCTGTCTCGGGGGCTGCTCGGTGTCTGTGTGTGTGCTGGGGGGTGCTCCAGCTGTTAAACTCATTCACAAAGCAGACCTTTGCTGGGGAGAAGGCCTAGCTCTTTCCTCCTTTCCACCGGGAGTGGGAAATGTCTTTCCCCATGGTAGTCTTGAGGAAGGTTTTGGTGCCCTGCCCTTTGCCAAGGCTGTTGGTTCCCCAAGGTGAGCTATGCTCTCTCCTGCAGGCCGTCTTCGACTGCGTTGTGACTTCCCTCAAGAATGTCTTCAACATCCTCATCGTCTACAAGCTCTTCATGTTCATCTTTGCTGTCATTGCCGTCCAGCTCTTCAAGGGGAAGTTTTTCTACTGCACTGACAGCTCTAAGGACACGGAGAAGGACTGCATGTAGGTGCCCTGTTCAGTAGGTCTGATGCTACTGACACCTCTGGCAAAGGCAGGGTGCTGGGTAATGTCATCTTTGGGTTCCCAGTTAAGTCCACGGTCAGGACTGGTTCTTGGCCTTAGCCTCTTGGGGTGGATGGCATGGGCTGAGCCTCGTCCTCATTGCTGTGTTGGCACCGTGCATCTTTGCACGGGATGCGGGTTGCAGAGCCCCGTGTTTTGCTCCTGTTCTTTTTCCTCCTTCTCTCTTCCCTTTTGCTTCCCCCTTCTCTCCTTCCCCACCATTGTTTTCCAGCCTCTCCCCATTTCTTCCTCCAGTCTTGCGGGAGAAGAGGTGTGCCCCCCACCACACACACACACACTGCCCCCAGAATCTAAAGCCACTGTCTTAAAGTGTGAAAAGCAAGTTCACTGCTCTCTCTCAACCTTGCAGAGGGAACTACGTGGACCATGAGAAGAACAAGATGGAGGTGAAGTGCCGGGAATGGAAACGCCATGAGTTTCACTATGACAATATCATCTGGGCTTTGCTCACTCTGTTCACAGTCTCCACCGGCGAGGGTTGGCCCCAGTGAGTATTCTTCTGCTGTCCACCTGCCTGAATGAGGGTGATCACATCCCCATTGGGGAGGTTGGGTTAATAACTGGGTACACCCAGGCGGGACTGAGAGAGGAACTGCTGGGCAGGGAGAAGGAGAGGAAGGATGAGAAGTCACGTCAGGACAAAAGAGCTTTTAGCCCCCATATGAAGCTGGGACCATGGCTGTGGTTAACTTCTTCCTTAGGGAGTGGATGACAGCTAATACCTTCTCCTGTGTGGCCCTGAGCTATATTTTATGTCAGTTTTAGAGATGACCATAGGACTAGACCTCTCTCCATGCTTGTGTGAGCTTGGGTATTTTTTTGTCTGTGTGGAGCATAGGAAAATCCGTTTTCCATCAAGGGCACAGGCAAAGCACCGTAAAACAAGCTGTAGCCCAACTAGAAGAGTTGTCTTTGTAAAGCAGATTCAGACAGAGCTGTATTTTATCACTGTTACAAGTGGGGACAGAGAGAGCTGGCTGTACAAAGTGGGCCCCATGAAAAGTGCCACATGGTGGCACTTCTGATGGACATATCTCTGGTTGCTCTTCTTCACCTGTCTGCCCACAGGGTGCTGCAGCATTCGGTGGACGTGACAGAGGAGGACCGTGGGCCCAGCCGCAGCAACCGCATGGAGATGTCAATTTTTTATGTCGTCTATTTTGTGGTCTTCCCTTTCTTCTTTGTCAACATTTTTGTGGCTCTCATCATCATTACCTTCCAAGAGCAAGGAGACAAAATGATGGAGGAGTGCAGTCTGGAGAAGAACGAGGTACAGTGTGGGGATGGAGAAAGAGGATGTTTTAATGGGTTTTCTGGGGTAACAGATGGGCTTTGGGAGCCTGGAGCTCCCCAGGTATTTAAAAGGTAGAAAAAACCTGTGAGCCACCTGCCTGCCCAGCCCATGAAGGAAAGAAGTGTGGCAGCTGCTGTCCCTCACGTTACCATTGGCCAGGGTCTGATACACCTCGTTTTATTCCAGAGGGCCTGTATTGATTTTGCCATCAGCGCAAAGCCCCTCACACGGTACATGCCCCAGAACCGGCACACCTTCCAGTACCGGGTCTGGCACTTTGTGGTCTCTCCATCCTTTGAGTACACCATCATGGCCATGATAGCATTGAACACCGTGGTGCTGATGATGAAGGTGAGCTGGTCGGGGTGAGCCTGTCCTGTTTTGGGTGGTGGGGAGAAGGAGGATTGGTGAGGATGGAACCAAATTGTTTCTAGGAGATGCTTTGAGACAGAGTCTGAGCACGTATTCCCTTGGTATAGCCACTTGAAACACCACATGCCCCGAACTGGAGGCAAGTTCTTCCCTAGATGAGATGACTCAAATGATCTGGGTCTTTTAACTACTGCAGAGAGTCCTGGATTTACTCTGTGCTTCCTTCTATGAAGCAGTGGCAGCTGTCCTGGGAGAGGGGTGGAGAGGGGAAGGAGGAGATGGTCTTGAGGCACCCAGGGCAAGGATCATGGACCACCACAGGTCATCCCTGAGCTGGCAGGCCTCCTAGCTAGCAATGACTCTCTCTTTCCGTCAGTACTACTCTGCTCCCTACACCTATGAGCTGGCCCTGAAGTACCTGAACATTGCATTCACCATGGTGTTCTCCTTGGAGTGTGTCCTCAAGATCATTGCTTTCGGCTTCCTGGTGAGTGGCTGCTCCCGTTCTTGATGAGGGTGCTAATTCGGACTCTGGCAGCACACAGATCACAGAGGGAAGGTGTCAGTAAAGTGAAGTTGTTGCTATTTATTTTGGGTACCAGCCTGAGAACTGCTTTTAGGTTGGAATCGCCCCTTTGGTTCTTGTTAAACTTCCCACTGCTGGATGCTGGTGGGGGAAGCCACACTGTTGCTTTATCGTTTTCCTTGTTTCTCTGGTGCTTTGTTGCCTGGACCATGTATGTGCTGTGCAACTGCTCTGCTAAAGCCAACTGCTGCTGCGATCGTGCTGGTGGCTGCAGTCCCTTGTCCCTGGTAGCCACGAGATGTAGGTGCATTGCTGTCCTTGGGCTGTACCAGTTGGACCAGACCTGACCAGCAGTGAGATCTCCTTCTCTAATTCCCAGTCTTCAAGTCTCCAGCTTCTTATTGAAGATTTGAATCATAGAGTGGTTTGGGCTGGAAGGGACCTTTAAAGATCATCTAGTTCAACCTCCTTGTAATGTGACATCTTCAACAAGATCAGATTGCTCAAATCCCCATCCAACCTGACCTTGAATGTTTCTGGGGATGGGACATTTGAAGCCACAGACTGCCTCTTCTTCAGCTACTGTGGCTGCTCTCCCCCCTCCCATTCACCACTGTGGCCTGTTGGATGTGTGAGTCATCTCCCAGGAGAAGCTGCTCACCGCAGACACGCTCAGGTCTGCTGCTGTCTCAGACACAGATGATGGTCCAGATCATGGCTGCATACAAATGGGCAGCAAGGTCTCTACCGTTGCTGCTGTTGCCCAGGAACAGCCTTGGCCCGTGGCCCAGCACCTTTCAGACCTGCCATTCCCAAGCTCAAATCCATGTTCCCTCTCCCCTTCCTCTTGCAGAATTATTTCCGGGATACCTGGAACATCTTTGACTTCATCACTGTCATCGGCAGCATTACAGAGATCATCCTGACAGACACCAAGGTGAAGCAGGGGCTGGGAGCAGCGGGACAAACCGCTGCGGGGCGGGGGGCTCCCACCTCCCTCTGACCCTCTCATCTTCTCCCAGCTGGTGAACACCAGCAGCTTCAACATGAGCTTCCTGAAGCTCTTCCGGGCTGCTCGGCTCATCAAGCTGCTGCGCCAGGGTTACACCATCCGCATCCTGCTCTGGACGTTTGTGCAGTCCTTCAAGGTAAATCACACATGCCCTGGTCTCCTCCTGGGCCACGTTGCTGGGGTGCTGGCTCCCAAATGCAGGCTGTTCACAAGGTCTTGCTGACTTGTTGGCTTGTAGGAGGGATGGATCGGCACAGCTTACCTGCTTGCTGTGCTTTTTGTACTCCTCTGGAGCTGGACCTGTGCTAAATGAGATGACTCATGTGCTTCTCTTGCAGGCTCTGCCCTACGTCTGCCTCTTGATTGCCATGCTTTTCTTCATCTACGCGATCATTGGGATGCAGGTGAGCACAGACATCTTAGTGTGCATCCCTCCAGTGCGGGAAGGCTGGACCAGCATGTTCTCAGCATTATGCACATCAACCAGCCTTGTGCCTGCCTGTCATCGCTTCACTCAGTCACGGTGTCTGGGAAGGTCCCGAGGGTGGAACAGCTTGTTTGGGAGCTGCAGAGCTGCATGCCCTGAGGGAGCTGCCACAAGCTTGTTCAGTCAAGCTCCGCAGCTGCCTTCCCCACTTGTACCCTTGGAGATGTGGCCTCGGGGACTCGGCTGCGCGGCAGCTGCTTCCGAATTGCCACCCCTTCGTTTCACAGGCACTTCAATTTTAGAAATGACATCCCATCTTCAACTCCCTAGCAGCCCCCAGAGATTGATTTCGAGCCTGAGGGACCTGGCGAGCTGCCTTCTGCCTTTCCCATCCCAAGGGCTGGATCACAGCAGTGATCCCCACAGCCCACTGTCCACCTTGTCTGATGATCTGCTTGGGCTCTCGCTCTTAGGGACCTCCAATGTCCTACCAGATGGTGGGAGGTCTGCTGAGCATGGGAAGATTTGAGCTTTCCAGGCTCCAGCTGGTAAATAAGAAGCACGTGAGCTAAAACCTTCAGCTCCACGCATGCCTCGGGGCTGGCTTAGCTCTGCGGTGACTAAATCCCACGCTGAGGATCTGACAAAGCATCTTCGACGACGAACACTTGAGATCCGAAGCCACCCGATGAGTGAGCTGCCGCAGTGCCCAATGCCCTTGCCCAACGTGCGCCGCTGGGATGGGCAGATTTTGAGGAGGCAGCAGGCAGCATGGTGGCCCCCAGCTTGGGCTGCTTGGCAGCGCTGGTGTTTAGTCTCTTCTACCCCCTCTCTCCCACCCTGAGAGTCGCGTGGCTGCTTTGGACCACTCTGTCCTACACATCTCTGCACCGGCTCCAGGTGTTCGCCGTGCTAAACAACTGCCATCTGACTCAGCTCCCCTCCCTGCCGTGTGGTAGTATTTGATTTCTTTTTTATTTTTTTTTTTAACACCATTGTGAACAAATCCCCATGCAGTAAAGTCTGTGGGCGTTATTTGAGCAAAATAGCTGGAGGCAGAAAATATTCTACAATTACACATTCCAAAAAACCTGTGCAGGGAAAAAAATACTCTGCAGTTAGTGTATTTTTAGGTTCACGGAAAGTGGAATAAATATTTAACAGTGATAACAGCACATTTTTCCTATTTGAGGCACTTTACGAACATTCATTATGTCCTACCATGGCCTTGGCTGTGGGTCGTTATTAGGATATTGTCCGTGTTTGGGGCTTTGTTGCCTCTCCTGGCCCTGGGGATGGTAGCCCCAGGTGTCTGGCTGTCTGTGGTGGGTCAGTAGTCAGTTTGTCCTTCCCTCACTGAGCCTTCCCCGCTGTGTTTGCGCCGCTGTGCCCACCCCCAGCATCACAAACTCTTTCTCCACCAAGGGAAAAGCTCCCAGGAGTTATCAGGACCAGGACCCAGCACCCACCCAGGGTGGTGGGACTCATCCCTGCCCCTCCAGCATGCTCGGGGCTGCCGTGTGGTGCTCGGATGCCACCATAGCGCAGCGGAATGATGGTCTTGGAGCGGTTGGACTCGGTTGATCCCAGGTCCTCCGTGCTCCTGTTTCCATGGCAGCTCGGCCTCTTGCAGCCTTTGCCGCCCACTGCAAATCCCTGCCAAGGAGAGCCAAGTCTCCTTCCCCCATGGCTGCTCAGTGCCAGCTCCTCAGCGTGCTGCCTATGCGCCGGCACACATTCGCTGGGGTGCTTTTCCATGGGGGATTGCACAGGGAGAGTGGATGTCAACTGCTTTGGGGGCCACCCGGGCTAATGGCCATGGACCTGGGGCAGGATCGGTTTCTGCAGCACAGAGGTGCATGCCCGTGAGCAAAGGTGAACGTGCAGCTGCTTCCCCGGCTGCCGAGCTCTTGCCTGAATGACTGAGCCCTTTTTCTGCCTCCCATAGGTATTTGGCAATATCAAACTAGATGAGGAAAGCCACATTAACAGGCACAACAACTTCCGCAGCTTCCTGGGCTCCCTTATGCTCCTCTTCAGGTAAGCAAATGTCAAAAACTCCTTTGGCAGTGTTTTTGGGTGCAGACGTGCCAGGAGCTGATCTGGGTAGGTCCTCACTGCAGGCCGCTTGGTGGAAGTCAGCTTTTTGCAGGAGCTCAGGACCCCCTTTTTTTAGCCCCACCTTGCCCTAAAAAAGGATGTCTGCCTCTCAGCTTTTTGGACTAGCTGGCTGGGGGGAGTTGGCCCCATGTGCCTGGCATGGCTGTGTGGGTCCAACTTGGTTGCTGCTGACCCAGTGCCTCACTCTTTTGCACAGCAGAGATGTGCTTAATTTGGGCAAGGGGTCTTACAGCTCCTTGTGAGGTTTCTCCTGGGGTGTCCTGCCCCAGCTCCATCCCATGCCACCACGAGCTGCTGAGCAGGACTGTGTTGGGCGCAGGAGTGCCACGGGAGAGGCCTGGCAGGAGATCATGCTGTCCTGCCTGGAGGGCAAAGGCTGCGAGCCGGACACGACAGCGACGTCCGGACAGAATGAGAACGAGCGCTGCGGCACTGACCTGGCCTACGTTTACTTTGTCTCCTTCATCTTCTTCTGCTCTTTCCTGGTGAGTCCCTCCTCCCTGAGAGCCCCATGGATCCCTCTCATCAGCCCCAAAGTGTGTATCCCTGCCATAGGGTCATCTCTGCTCCCTCTCCCCCTACTTTCCTTTCTCTCCACCTTTTTCCCTTTCATTTAGATGCTCAACCTGTTTGTGGCGGTCATCATGGACAATTTTGAATACCTGACTCGGGATTCCTCTATCCTGGGACCTCACCACCTAGATGAGTTTGTCCGGATCTGGGCAGAGTATGACAGAGCAGCGTGGTATGTAGCCAGCTCCTTCTCTCCCGAGCAACCTCTCAGAGCTGGTTTTAAACGGGCATCTCTCTGTTCTGCTACTGGAAACCAGCTGCGACGCTGGGGATGGTCAGGCAAGGGCTGCTCTTGTCTGTGGTCATTACAAGGGCAGCAGCCTGTTCCTACAGCACCTGGTGGTACAGGCATCTTGGGTGATGTTTGATTTGCCATGGTGTTTATCCTGAGCACTGGAGGTTCCTGCTCTTCCTCTCCTCCCTGGCCACCATGCAGGTCCCTCTCAGCTTCCTTCCCTGTCCCTGTGCACCAGCTGGGTGCCTCTGTCCTGAGACTGGCTCCATCACCTGGGCCCCAGCAATCACAGCTCCCCATGAGAGCTCCCCATGTTCCCAGGCATGAGGAGATACTGGGGGTCTGCTGGGCTCCTGCCAAGTCACCGATGGAGGACCTTGAGAGCCCTTGGCAGCCACACGTGCTCCCTTTGGAGACTCTTCACCCCCACTGCTAATGTCCTGTCCCTTGAGAGACGAGCTCCAGCCAAGATATTTTTTTATGCCCAATATCATCAGCTCCTGGCATAGTTTCCTCCACCGTTTCTGTCCAGCCTTGTGCAGCTCAGTGCTGGCCAGGTTCTTCCCTGCGTGGCCTCCTCCAGTACCCTTGCTGCTGTGCAAGGCTCCCGTGGGCAGGTGGGTTTGCTTGTTAGCGGGCGAATATGCCTTGTGCAAGTGGAGAGACCAGCATGGGTGAGATGTCCTGATGGACAACTAGAGAAGGAAGAAGAGGCAAGAGCAGTGAAATACTCAGTGGGGTGTCTCACCCATGGCTTTTGGGAAGTATTTCTTCACACCAGGCACTTCATTCACTCTCAACCCCATGCTGGTGGCTTGGGTCTCAAGGACAGTCACTGTAAAAGCATGTCTGAGCTGTCCTATTGATGCCGTGAACCCCTCTGATTTCTGAGCAAGCCACACTATTTCGTCATGATATGTAACAAATGGTTAGGGAATATGCACAGGAGTCGGTGGTGCTGGGCCTGTGGGGGCAGCCCTGGCCCCCGTTGCTGGGTGAGGAATGGGTGAGTACGTATGAATGGGTCCCACCTCCTGAGTGGGGCAGCAGTTCTGCATCCTGACACTGGGACCGCCTTGTGAGGAGACCACCCAACACCAGCGGGGCTCAGGGGTGGGCTTTGCCCAGATGGTTGGGTTAGTGCTGGCCAGCGATGGAGACAAGATGGGAGAAAAGCAAGGAGAAACCCGAGGCAAAGGTGCCAAGTAGGACAGTAACACTGATCTTTGCCTCCTCATGCGGTTTCCCTCCAAGCTTGTCTAAGGATGCCCAGGAGGCTGCAGCAAGCTGCACCTCAGCACTTCCACCCTGCACGGTCCAGCTTCCCGAAGGGCTCTGCTCCGGAGCAGAGTGTGGAGCTCAGCAACCAATGGCCCCTGCACCCTCTCCTGCCAGCTCTCTGCCTCAACTGCTTCGTTATTTCAACCGGTGCAGGAGCGATACGAGCTGTATCGTGCAATGTCTGCACCTGGGTCTGGGGAGATGCGCTTCTGTGGGCAAGAAGGGGTGTGTGTGTGGAAGGGTTTGCTTCTAATAATGTGTACCCTTGGCAGAGTGTGGTCTGGTGGTCAAAGCACAGGACTGGACCTTGAGAGACCTAGGTGCTAGTGCCACAGCCACCGGTCACCAGATGGTCACATTATCTCTCCCCATCTCAGGTTCCTCAGTTATTGGAGATACAAGTGACTCAGCTGCCAGCCTCCCTGGCACCTTGTGAGGACCAGAGAGTTGGCCATGCAAGGGCAGGCTCTCTGGTGGTGTAATGGGACGCAAGTCCATCAAAAGGGCTCATGGTGGCTATAATACAACCAAGCTGCAGGCTCACCCTGTCTAAAATCTCAGCCCTCTCCCACCAGGTGGAGGTGGCCAGAAGCATGATGAGGAAGGCTGATAGAGTGGTGTTCACCACTGAACCTGTCCTTCTCAGGGTCAAGATGGGCCAGTGTAAGGAGGAATGAGCTGACTCATGGTGGAGAACACAGTAGCTGGTGCTCACAGCTTTCCCCTGAGTCTGACAGAGTCAGAAGGAGAAAAGCCATGCACCCTGGGTGTCTTGCCCCACTGACACCCCCAGCAATCCCCCAGTTAAGCTCTCCATCCTCCCCTCCACCCTCTCAGTGTCCTATTAACCCACCTGTGCTTCCTTTGCAGCGGCAGGATCTCGTATAAGGATATGTACAAATTAGTACGGGTGATCTCGCCTCCTCTGGGCCTAGGAGAGAACTGCCCCTACAGGGTGGCGTGCAAGGTTTGCCTCCCAGTCCTCCGCCACAACCTGGCCACGGGACGCACCATCCACCCCTCCTTCCCCCCTGCTCCACCGCCACCGCGCCTCCCGAGGGAACCCTGATGTTGCTTTCCTTCGAGTTTAAAGAGGTCCGCGGCCTCCCAGAGCCAGCAGCTGTCCCCCCTCGTGGGGCCAGAGGGGGCTCAGAGCCTCCCAGGGTGGGTTTTGACAAATTGCGTCCCCCAGCCAGCCCCCCCCAGCCCCAGCTCCATCGGCACAGGGAGCCTCCGAAGGGTGCCAGGCTAAATGCTACCATCCCTGCTTGGCTTCTCAAAGCGGCCTCAAGTAGGAGTAGGAGTTTTTGGGGGGCTCAGGTGTGGTTAACTGCTGGGGTGGGAAGCAGGGGAGCAAAGGCAGAAGGACGTTGAGGACTTTGTTGTTGTTTTGGAGAGTGAAGACTAGGGGGAGGATGGGGAAGCCAGGGTGACCCCTATCCTTGGGGGATGCCGTGCTGTACCCAGCAGACTGTTCCTGAGTGTGGCAATTGGAGGACACATGGCCATGTCTCTGCAGACCAGGACTCTTGCTAGTCTTGCCCTAAGCTTGCTGGACCTCTCTGGGAGGAAGTGGTGGCACCTGGGCACATCTCTGGAGCGTAACAGCTCCTCTCCCTTTGCTTGAGCCAAGCTACTGGCCATGGGTTGTGAGTCCATGGCAGTGATTTGGTCTCCTTGTGTCCCTCTGACTTGCATGGGGTTTTCAGATATTTTGGAGGGGTGAGAGTTGAGCAAAATCCTGTGCCTGCCACCGTCTCTGAAGTGCTACAATGCCTATGTCTGTGTCCATGGCATGAAAGGATGAACCACAGAGCTTGCTTTTGCCTCTGCATCCCTCACAACATCTGAGGAGACTTATGAGGGAAGCTCAGACACCCCCGGTCCTTGATCTTGATTCTGCAGGGTTCCTTGGTGCATCTTGGTGTAGCCAGCATTCCTGGAATGGGTCTGTCACCCTCCACAGCTGGTTGTGAGGATGATGCATACATCTGAATCTTGAAGTAGACCACCAGAAGTAGAGCAAAGCAAGACAAGACAAGATGTGGATGCTCAGTCATCTCATTTATGAAGAGGTATTTAGGGACAGGAGATTTCTTGCGAGGATCTCAGGTGACTCATCTGTTCAAGGAGGGGTTCCTTGCAGTCTTTCCACTCTTCCCTGTTGCGTCCAAAGGATGGTGGCTTTGCTGAGGACACTTGCTCAGGTCCCTGCAGACCGAAGACACCTTCAGGAGGAATTTCTAGTCTTTCTTGATTGACATCAGGGCTTCATTGGTGAATGCTGCTCTCCTAAGGTGGATCACCCAATGCTCAGAAGGGTACCTGTAGTGCTTCCTGGGAAGAGGGAGCTCTGCTGTAGTCCAGGCTTTCTCCTGACTCTGGGAAGGACAGAGCAGTGAAGGTGGATGAATACAAGGGGAGGTGGAAGCAGAGGGAGTGAAACCAGCTTCTGCTGTCATGTGAGGGGGATCATCCCCATCTCTTCCTTGTGTACCTTGGTCTCCTCCTTCCTGTGCATGGGGCGTTTCAAGGACAAGAGAGATTTTTGGGAATTCCTACTGCCCTGAAACAATTCCCTAAAGGCAACTGATGGGAAAAAAACCCCACATGCGGTCATTGCATCTTGCTACTGTGGTCCAGATCCCAAAATGCCAACCCGACTTGCTCACCCTTTCAGTTTGCTGACCCTGCCCCGCACACCACAGTGCACACATTCACTGTCCTGGAGCCTGTCCTGATGGACATGAACAGCGATGACTTGCAGAAAAAAACACCAATGTGCTCATGGAGTGGCGGGCAGCCTGCTCTAGAAGAGATGGTTCTTGGACGAGTTCAGGACGCAGCATAGTGGTGCAGCATGGTATGGAAGCATACCCACTAGGCCATCTGCAGGTGGGCTAGCAAAGGGCCATTGATGCAGGAAGACTTCCCATGGAAGTCCAGCAAATTGTGGCCTTATGCTGAGGAGAACAGGTCTTGTAACTGGATCTTGCTGGGACTATATCCTGGCAGTCTGCTCCACTCTCTGGGGCTATCTCTGCCTTTCTTCGCCTCCTCTGCTTCTGGCAGACGTGCTAGCCAAGGCATCACTTTTGGCCCCTAAAAGTAGCCATGAGATGGTCAGGTGAATGCTCCACGGACATTCATGTCCCTGTGGACATCTATTCCTGAATCTATTCTCACATCACTTGCTGTTCTGGTGCTCTGTTCCTAACAGTCTGGTGCGGCACAGTACTTATTTCCTAACCACAGGAGGACAGATGTCCCCCCCATTTTCCCCTCCATCACTCACAGAGTTCTCTAAGAGCACCAGGACGAAGCCATTAGTGCCTGGTGGTTTCACAGTCCACATCTCTGCTCAGGCACAGACAGATGGCCAGCTCTCCCATCAAGGATGCATCCGTGCTGGGATCAGCTCTTGGGAGCCATCCTGTTCAGATGGATGCCACTCCACATGCCTTCCTCTGTGTCACTCCATAGGGATGTGGTTTCTGGGCAGTGCTGTGCTGCTAAAAATGCTTTAGGATCTCTGCTCTGAGAAGCGGCAAAGTGTGCAGCCTGTCTGTGAGAGCAGCACAGTTCTTGTGCAGTCCTTCTTGGCTACTGATGCAAACTCTTCCTTTCACAGGAATCCATTTCTCCTTTATTGTGCAGAGAATCTCAGTAGGAAAGACAACATCTGATGTGTGCTGGGTATGCTAAAACCCACACTCCGAGGTAGGGTTGGTGGAAGATCTGCCTTGCTTTCTTTTTGCACAAAATTCTTGAGCATGAAAATTTTGTCATCTCCTCCCCTTCTGACACCTTGAGTCAGTGCACATCCCGCTTTGCCAAGGCACTCCTTATGGACTCCTGGACCTGGACATTTCCTTTTGATCATCCCACTCAGTGCTGTTATCAATCCTCTTTCCAAGCCGTTTAGGTGTCTCAGGTCTCAAAGGGGATGGCTTGCCCCTCCTGTTCTGTGCCTGCACCCCAAACACCTCCCATTGCAGGTTGTTGCCACCTCTAGCTCACACCTGAAATGTCAGGACTTATCTTAGTGCAGGCCTCTTTGGCCAGGGGTCTGCTTCCTAACCAGTGGTACCTCGTGAGAAGAGGAGATATCCTCTTCTCCCTTCTCCACACTGCTTGAAGAACTTGGGAATAGAAGAGGCCAAGATCCCACAGGGAGTGCCTAATTTTTCAGCAGTGCCCTCTCTCCCAGGCCACCCTGGCTGAGACAGGTTCCTCCCAGCCCAGCTGCGAGGGTCAGTGCCTTTGCTGTTTGAGGTTGCCCTTGCCCTCTGAACCACCGTGAATGTTGCAGTGCAGGTCAGAAGCCTGGCACGAGGGGAAGAAGAGGTGGCCGAGCCAGCATCCCAGGGAGATGTACTTGAGTGGCCTCCTGGACGTGCAGAGAGAGGGAGACATAACCCAAATATCTCAGCCTGGCAGAGGGCTCAAGGTGTCATCGGGTGGCCCATTTTTGAGAGCGTTCCTCACTGCAACAACCCTAGGCAGGTCCTTACAGAGCAGAGGAGCACAAGGTGGGGGCCCGTGCTAGCTGCCTCCCTTGGGAAACCCAAACGAACCCCAATGTGGGAAGGCCCAAACAGCTGCCTCTGCTGAGACTCTTTAAACTCCAACCTGGTGGAACTTGCAGCCGCATGTGGGAGAGAGCCAGGGCGGGAGCATGGCATGTACAACTTTTCCTCCTGGTTTTGTTTCTTCAGCCAATTCAGCATGCCTTTTGCACTGGTGCATGGTGGGGAAGCGGTCCATCCGCAGAGCCAGACGGAAGCAACTGGGCATCTTCCTTTGACAAGTGACCCTGGCCCACTGCCTTCTATGCAAGATGCTGCCTCCCAATTGCATAGACCCTATGAGCTGGGGATACACAGCCTTCCGGCTATGGGTTAGGTGGCGATGCAAAGCAACACCCAGGCCCCCCCCGGGAGGGAAGACGCTACGGAGGCCACGGAGCACTGTGGCGCAAACCACCGTTATCTCAAATAACCCATGGCTTGAGTGCCGTGTATCTGATTTATACCACTCGCACACAGCCCTGGAACCTGTGGGACAAGGTGGGGGCTGCTGGAGGGCTTTAGGAAAGGGGTTGAGGCCAGAGAAGGACTCCCAGACTGCTAGCAAGACAGGCACTTGAGGCCAGCAGCAAAGAGGAGAGGAGTGAGTTGCTTTCTGCCAGCATTCCTGGGTCTGTGTGAGCAGTGCTATAAATCCACATCAGGACAGTCTCTCATGTATGATTTGCCTTGATTAATGGGTTTCCTGTTCTTTTCCTGTTTGTCCGTTTGTTTTTTCTCTCCTGTTTTTCCTGTACAATTTTTGTTTGTACGTTTTTTTCTGCTCTCTGGGAATGCCTCCTCTCTCTCTGCACCTCCCTCCCTCCCCTTCCCCCTTCATGAGCAGTGGCCGAATCCATTACACTGAGATGTATGAAATGCTGACTCTTATGTCACCACCGCTAGGCCTCGGCAAGAGATGTCCTTCCAAAGTGGCCTATAAGGTAGATCAACCCTTCCTTCTATGGGGACTAGAGCTGAGTAGGAGCCGGGGCTCGAGGGAGCTGCGGGAGGTGGGGCTGGGGGGAGTCGGGGAGGCACTGAGGGTACCCAACATGTGTTTAGCTCACTCCTGGGGAGCCTGGTGCACTCAGAAGAGTCCTGGCCATGCTGGCTGGTCTCTGCTGCCCACACACATGATGCTGCCATGGTCACTCACAAGCCTGGGGAGCTATGGAGTGGAAGACCCCAGTGAAAGAGGATGGGCAGGATCAGCAATAGCGTGGAAGTGGGAGGGTTGGAGAAGATGAGGTGAGGAGCAACCCCGTAACACAGTTAGAAGAGTGAGGTGTCCTTAGGAGCTCACTGACTCAAGCTGGACCCCTGGGCTTGGAACCTTCCTTGTCCTGGCCAGGGCAGAAAGAGGGCTAAAGCCCCTGGAGACGGGGAGCAGGCAGGCAGCAAGGTCATACCCTGTAGGGGCAGCTCTGCAGTGCGTGAGGAGCCAGGAGCGTTGGTACAAGCTATCCCAAGGATGGCTTGTGCAAGGCAAAGCCAGGGGCCTTCAAAAAGTGTCTCTGAGTTTTCCCCCTTGTTCCTCCTGGGCCGGTGGCCAGCAGTCAGCTCACGGCATAGGCAGAGCGTGCCTGGGGCTGTGTAGGCATAGGACAGGAGCACAAGAAGCCCTGAAGGATGTGGGATGGGAGCTGTGTGGCTTTGCTGAGGGCAGCAGCTGCTGGGGCAAGGCCTGGAGTTTTGGAGCGATGTGTTGTCCAGGTCTGGAGCAAATTGGAGCTTTCCTTGGTAGTGGGCTGCTCCCCAAAGCCCTTTCTGTGGCAGTCAGGGCTAGCAGAGGGGGGATTTCTGCACTCTCACAAACGTGCTGCCATCTTCTCCAGCTCACACATGCATACATCCACCATCGCACTTTTCCAGGAGAAAAAAAGGGAGGCTTGAAGGCAGGGAAAGGACATGAGAAGCTGGGAGAAAAGGAATAAGCAGGGAAGGGATGACCCAAGGTATTCACAAAGCAAAATATACTCTCTGGAAAGTGGATCTGGTCACTTCGGTTTGCACCCCGCCTGCCCAGGGTGGGGAAGGAGCATGGCGTGTCTAACCTGCCTTGGTTGCCCTTCTCTCTTCCCTTCTGCACTTTTTCTACCTATCCTTCCCTTCCCCACCCTTGGATAATTTGGACCCTGTGCATGTGCTGGCAAACTTCATCTCTGAAAGACGCAAAAAGGGAGCGCCAGGATGTAGCATGCTAGAGGAATCCAGCCGATCTGAAGTCCCTGAAGGTTAGGGACCCTCTTCTCCCCTGCCCCAGGTGGGAAGGGTTGAGAGCTGGAAAGCCAAACCACCCAGGAACGGAAACCTGAGCCCCCTCTCCCCTTCCCGAGCATCCCCCACGCACACATTCTTGACAGATCAGGCGTGTCTTCCCAAAAAGCGCTGGGAGGTGCCGTGGCAGCCCTGGTGCCATGGGGAGTGGGGCTCAGGGGCCATTCCTGGGGTGCAGGAGGAGCCCTGGAAGGCAGTGAGCCGGTGTCCTGGGGTGGAAGGAGCCGGGGGGAGGGTGGGTGGTGGGGTGATCCTTGCCCTTCTTTTTTGGCTGTGCTGTTTTGACACTCTTTGTTGCTTTTTATTTTTTGATTTTTTTTTTCCCTTTTGTTTAATGTTTAATTTATTTTCCTCCAGCCTGGTCGATGTGTTTTTCGATATTGTTTTCCGTCCGCTGTTTTCTTCTCTCTCTTGCGCAGAGACTGGTGCTGATGAACATGCCCGTGGCCGAGGACATGACGGTCCATTTTACCTCTACCTTGATGGCACTGATACGCACAGCCTTGGACATCAAAATTGCCAAAGGTAAGGTCGGTGGGGTAGAGAGAGGACAGAGCCAGGACCGTTTCGGAGAGACAAGCATTCATCCTTTCAGGCTGAAGACATCACACCCAAATTGGGGTGGCCACTCAGATTTTGCCATGTGGATAGAAATGTTTACCTTGAACAGGCAGATTTCTGCTGCTCTCTAGAAAAAAATCTGTTTCTTTAGGGAAGAGGTGACCGGTTTTCCACTAGAAGCTCCTTCTAGAGAGCAGAAACAGCTTGATGTCCACTGTGTAATGGAGGAGAGAGAATTCCCCTTCCTCCCCAAGTACAAAACCAAACCAAGGAGGGAAAAGATCACATGCACTTGGCTTCCTGAGGCTGTGGGGAACAGAAAGCTCTCTCTCAGGGAAGAGAAAATGTTCAGAGCAGGAAAACCTGCTTTGTTGTTGCTGGAAACAGTCTGATTCATCCGATCGAAAGCTTTTTGCAGAAACGTGCCATTTTCAATAAAACATCCCCTGGGAACAGCTCGGCTGTTGAAAGAAAACTCAACCCAGGGCAAGATGTCAGCAAAAGCCCAGTGCTGAGACAGCTCCTTGAGTTCAAGCTCCCCTAGATAAAGGAGAGATTTGTACCTACAGCTCAGTCGAGTTGTCCTGGGCTTGGGCACCTCTGGCTGGTGTGTGTTGATGCGTGTTGACAGCTTCCTTTGAGCCTGAGTCTTCCTAAGCTCAGCAAACCCCTTCACTGCTGGCCAGAGAGCTCTGCTATTCTCCTTGCACAGCATCATTGAGTTTTTAAGGGTTTCAACCAAGTGGAGCTGGTCTTTCACCAGCACATGATCCGCTCACCAGCAAAGAGAAAGTGGGGCAGCAGCAGGTGTGTGTGGGCTGGAGTAGGATTGGAGCCGCAGAGACGGACCCAAGGCAAGCTTTGAAGATGGCAGCTTTGAGTGGGAGGGCAGAGGATGGGGAGATGGAGGCACATATGGAAGGGATGGCAGCAAAGTTTCCCTGCAAGAGCGTGAGAGCCGGCTTGCTGATACAAGATGGCCCTCCCAGCCCAGAGAGCTGGCTGCTGCTTGTGAACCCTATTTCAGGACGGGAAAGGGGTGGTTTTAGTTGAACTCTGGTGACAGATGTTGATATACATGGCCCATTTCCCTCCCCTGCTGTTCAAGGTGGTGCAGATTGGCAGCAGTTAGACTCCGAGCTTCAAAAGGAGATCCTGACCATTTGGCCTCACCTGTCCCAGAAGATGCTTGACCTGTTGGTTCCCATGCCAAAAAGTGAGTCTCTGTGGGGGCTGCCATTGCTGCATCATACCTGCAGCAACTTCTTCCTAAAGGGAGGTGGGGGATCAGTCAGACCTGTCCCTGGTTGGGGTAGAAGTGGGAAAAGGGTTTATGTTACTACAGGCTGGCATCTGTCAGGCATATGCCTGGCTGCTTGGGAACCCTCTTGAAAAAACACCCAGTTTGCGGGGATCTACTCCTTGGCAAACCAAGAGTCTCCTGTAACTCATCTCTGGAGCGTACAGGGGCAGGAGGCTGAGCATCACTTGCTCTGCTACATCTGGTGATGTGATGAGGATGTGCATCTTGGTGGTTTATGATGATGCTTCCAAGCCATCTCCATCCATTTTATCTCCATGTGGAGTGCCTGGCTGCTCAACTCTCTCTTTCACAGTAGTGAGCAGAGTTTGAGGGTCACCAGAGTATCCCACAGCAGGGCTCTTCCTGAGATCTGTGCTGGTGTCTTCAGACCTGCTGTTTCTGTTAAGACTAAAGTGTCCCCCCCTCTTCCTTCCCCTCTTATGCTCTCAGCCTCTGACCTGACTGTTGGCAAGATATATGCAGCCATGATGATCATGGACTACTACAAGCAGAGCAAAGCGAAGAAGCAGCGGCAGCAGCTGGAGGAGCAGGTGAGGCTCAGTAAGGACACGTGGTGGGCAGGGTGGGGATGGTCAGAGCACCCCAACTGCGTCCTACCACGTCTCAACCAAACCTTGTCCCAACCCATGGGATGCAGCTCAGGGATGAAGATGGTGGTACAGGTTGAAGTTTGGTGGCTACAAAGCATGCATATGTGCATCCTTGGTTCCCGACAGAGAATGTGAGCACGCTGTTGCCTTCCCAAGCAGCAGGGACTTGGTGAAGCGCTGGATGTTCATCTGCATTTCCTACAGGCTCAGCTTCTTCCTTTCTTCCATACAGAAAAATGCCCCCATGTTCCAGCGCATGGAGCCGTCCTCCTTGCCGCAGGAAATCATCTCGAACGCGAAGGCTCTGCCTTACCTCCAGCAGGACACCATCTCGGGCCTGTGAGTATTGCCTGGAGAAGAAGGGAGGTATTCCTCTCACTTTTCTGTTCCTGCAACCCTCATTTTGTTCTCTGGAGCAGGCACTGTGATGCACAGAGGGTTAAAGAGCTGCTAAGAGCAGAGCAAACCCAGTCTGGTGCAGAAAGCTTCCAGCTCAAAGCTTTTGCAGGACCCCAGGTAGCTGGTGTGCATCAGCATCGCCAACAGCAGTGGAGGTGGCTAAGGAGGATGGCCAGGGCTCTGCATGGATGTTCTTGCAGGACCATCCCGGCACTAAGTGCAAACTCTCTTACGTAGGAGGGTCTGGGATGGACCTGATTCTCAGGAGCGTTCAGCAACGGGTCCCCAGGTGGTGCAGGGTTGGCGGGGGATCCCAGCACCCTGGCTGGTGGGAAGGAGACAGTGGGAGCCACTAGCACTGTGCTTGGGATGTCCCCCTGCCACTGTGGGACCTGGCGCACTGGTGTCCTCTCCTGCCTGGGCACCACTTCAGCTCTCCAAGGAGCATGACGTTTGGCTTGTGGGCCTCAGCCTTGACAGCCTGAGGGGCAAGCATGGGAGTTTCCCTGCTCTCAGCTGCTGGAGAGGTGATACCCAGTGGTGGCAGCACCCCACTTGTGGCCTCCTGAAGCTGGACTGTACTTGCAGGAGCAGCCGGAGTGGGTTCCCCTCGCTCAGCCCGCTCTCGCCACAGGAGATCTTCCAGCTGGCGTGCATGGATCCATCCCACGGGCAGTTCCAGGAGCACCAATCTCTGGTAAAGTCACCCACTGCCTGGTGGGCGCTCGCCTGTGGTCCCAGTGAGGAGGATGGTGGGCATGGGGAGGTGTGGGGCTGCCGGTGTGGCAGCAAGCACAGCAGGGAGACAACAGCCACTGGGCCATACTTGGATCCAAGCGGGGGACAAATGTCCCCAAGCGTCCCCAGCTGGACAGAGGCCT